TGACCTTAAAACTAAGGCACTTCCCAGGGCTCCATGTACGGATTAGACATCACAGGCTCAGGACTGACGTGACACCAAGAGCAGCTTTAAGCCGGCTCCTGGAGAAAAGCCATGTTAACACAATGGAAGTCACTTGGAGCCCCGCAATAAGGCAGGCAAGTGTTTGTCCGGTTCTGTGGAAAAGACGCACTCACTGACTTTGCCCTAAATACAAGAGATACAGTGCCTTGTAAGGTGAAGATAAGTTTCCCTTAAGTTTGTCGGCTTACATTTTCTCAGATTTTATAATTTCCAAGCAAACTACAAATTGAATTATTTAGATTCTCAAAAACCACAATTCCCCCAAATAATGATGTACAGAAAAGAGGACAGGAGATGCAGTTACCAAAAAAGTGTGCCCCAGTTTCACATTTAATGAGTATTACAGAATTATGCTTCTTCTGACCACGTGAGAGGGAGATGCAGTCTTCAAGACACAGTACCACTCTGGACCACGTGCGGAGGGTCCAGACTTCAAACCACCAGAGCCCACACCCCGTGCCGGGTTAGAAACCCACCAAGGGTTTCAGGGCCCTGCTGAAGGCAGCCAGCCAGCACATGTCTCTTTATGTAACCATGGGTGTGATTGATGTGTTTACTCTTAGCGGGTGGATAAAATGGTAAGATTATGAGGAGCAATTTGTGTATCAAATTATATACTAGGCATATATTTTAACCTAGAAAGTCATTTCTAAGATTTTACCCTAGAGAGCTAAACTCATGAGCATGAATACAGTTATGCACAAAAAAATTGTAATAGCAAAATTCTCATCAAGGCAAATTGCTCAGTAAATGATGATACATACCTACAGTGGGATACACGCTGCCTTTTAAAAATGATGGCATAAATCTACATTCAGGTACAAGGAAATGCATTTCAATCTATTATTGAATAAAAAGCAGATTACTGAACCATATTTATCTGAAATACTCTAGGCACAGAGAGCTATTTAGAACATGATGATATTTAGTTTTTTATTTGAGTTTTACTGCATTGTTTTAATTTCTTAGAAGCATGTAGTATTTTACGAAAATTATTTCAACAACAAAAATAGTCGAGTATTGTCTGTCAAAACTTGATGACACCTAAATGTCCAGCCAGACTAAACATGTGTCCAACATGTGAAACAAACTGTCATATTATGTATTTTACAAAAACATATTAACCCACATCATTAGGATGAGAGGCATATTAATAATCTGAAATTTTATCCATTCATGTTTACATCTATAAATATAGTTTTTAAAGTTTCCTAAAACTCATGGGTTTTTAAGAAGCACTTCATTTAAGAACTCAGTACGAAGACATTTTATTAGAACTGCCTCCAGGATATTGAGTTGCTTGGATTCTTTCAGAATTGGGCATTCCAGGGACCCCTCATCCTGTCTCACTTGTTCTGCTGCAGGCTGTGAGGGCAAGCTTTGCAGGGTGAGACAAAGCAGATGCTTCTTTCTGACAGGCTTTGCCTGGCTTACCATCACTTCTCTAGATTAGGGTGCCAGGGCACCAAAAGTCAGAAAGATAAAGAAAATTCACAAAAATGTGCCAAGTTGCTTTTATATAGGGATTGTGTTAGGTCCCCACAGAAGTCAAATAGAATTGAATAATACTAAATGTGTTAGTGACATGTTGAAATGACAGCAGGGGAAAGGTTTCTCCATAATTTTAGACAAATAAAAGGTCTTCAAAAGAGACACCAGACCAGATAACCGAAGAGCAAGCGTCAGTGGGCTACAAAAGCATGGGTTTCATTTGAACTTGGAATGAAAAATCGCAGTCATTGGCCAAACCTAGCAATTGAGCATCTCTACGGTACTTGGAAGAATGTTAGGAGTTGTTGGAAAATATAGGAGTGGAAGACAAGGATCTTACTCTTACACCGAAAACATAGGAGGAGAGAGAAAATGAGTGAAATGTTTAACTAGCAAACAACTACGAAGGTGGCCAGTGCTCAGAAAGGGCTGAGATAAGCATGCCCCAGGCTGCCCCTGGGGCCTTCGGGGCCTGAGAGGACCAGAGACGAGCTCTAGAACTAAACAATTATGAACAAGATCTGCAGTGGCTGAGAAGGACAAGCAACTTCCTCGCTGCAGGGGTATTTCTGAACAGAACCAGGGGAGGGGCAAAGCCCAGTTCAGGGTCTCCTCCATTTTCCTAACTTTCCTTAAGATCTGATCCCTCATGGCAGATGGTTGAAGAAAGATGAAGCAATATCAAGAAATTAATAAGCAAAAAAGGTGTCTTAAAGTATTAACATTCAACCTGAGAAATATGGGGGACCTGAGGGTCTTGTGAGTGCTGGCTGCTTGGGAGGAAAGAACTGTTTCCAAAGGCAGCCGAGGAACGTCAGCAAGAGCCGTTGTTACCGCTAGCGTGTCTCCTCCCCCACAAGCACACATATTTTTTAAAGTTAATAAATTGAAACTTCAGGATGGTAAGTAATCTACCCAACATTTGAACTCCAATTTCTCTAACCCAGAGGCTCTTGAAACTTTTGATCTTATGGTCCTTTTACATTCTTAGAATTATCGAAGGATTCAGATAGCTTTTATGCATATGGAAGACTAGATAGATAGATAGACACATACATACATATCTAAAAAGGCAATTCACATTGTCAGAAATCTGAACCGAGGATCTGTTAAACACAGGAATACGAAAGCACACGTTTCTTTGGACGGCCCAGCAATGCCGTCACCGCTCGCCACGTAGCCCCTACAAACCCCGCTCTACACTGATGAGACAGTGAGAGTGAAAACTGATATTACAGTGGAAGTAGTTTTGATCCCATAGATTCCCTCAGCCCCCTGGGGTCTGAGATCACTCTGAGAATTTGTGTGTTAATGCCTAGTCAATACATAAAAATTTTTCCAAGACCAGACGGTGGTACCTTCTGTGAATGACCTCCGTAGACCTTAAGCTCCCTTCACTGCTTCGACTCCCACCTTTGCCAAGTGCTCCCACACCGGCCACACCAGCACGAATCCTCTCCCCGTGAATGCGCTGGGAGTGCTCCAACCTCCTGACAGGCGCTCAAGCTGCATTTTCTGTCTGGACTTTCTCCTTTGAAGGGTTCTCACTCTGGCTTCCAGGGCTCTGCTAAAACGTCGCTCACCCGAGCCCCAGGTGGAATTGATCGCTTTTCCTGAGCAGCACTGTGCTCTTACCTCTGCCTCATTATACTCAGTCCCACTGTTGCCCTGGGAGTTGGTAATGTTCTCATCCCACAATCCCGCCCTGAGGATGAACCCAGCAATAAGCACCAGAAAGACACCCTGGACTGGGCCTGCCCGTAAAGACTGACTCTCCCTCAGCCCTGGCTCCTGGTATTTCTTCAGAGCTATTTTATTTGCTCTGTCTAGTTATTCTGAAATAATAAATGTCACTGGTTGATGATATGGGTGATGCTATGGGTGATACTATCTTCTTTTACTTGACTGCCAATGCATTTTTATATGTATAAACGTAATACAATGGTAAAGTGTTTCTTTATAGCTTAGCCGCTAATATTTAGGAAGCATTTATATATGTGCTACACAGCTCAATGTATTTTATATGCCTATTAATGCTTTTAAGTATTCATACTATTAAGAGTAAGAATGAAGAGGCGTGAATACTCAGCTGAATTGGACAGTGATTCTCCCTACATCACATACAATGTGTGCATATTCTGTCATCACTTATGACTTGCATTTATTTGTGTTATCTTGGCTTTATCTTCACATACTAAAGGGAAGAGTCCAGATCTTCTTTGTGTCTCATTCTCTGAATTCCTCAGGGAATATTGCTCATCTTATGGCCAGGCAACAGAGGATCTTAACATCTAAGCACAAACCTAGCTTTTTAACTTCACAGATCTCAATTAGCAAAATGTTCTCCTGAAAACAAATACATTGCTCAGTGGCCACCCGGGAGCCATAGGAACTGGTTGCCTTCGTAAAGTTCAGTAAAACATTTATGGTGGAACAATTCCCACAGATGGAATTCAAAATGCATTGCTTTGTAAAGGATTTTTTATCTCCTAGAATAATCAGAAAACAGAATGCTTGAAAGAGTGACAGGACACCATCCTCATTCCTAACAAAGAGCTTTCTGCCCCTTGCACAAAATCCGAACTACTCATGTCTGTGTGACTGCAGAGGCTTCTCCGGAAGCGAAGGCAAGAAAGGGTTGGAGTTATTGTTTAATGGCTGCAAGCTGGATACCGGCAATCTTCTGGGCTCCTGCTGTGCTGTCACAATCATGCCTGGGGCGGCCACAGCAGCAGACAGGTGCCCGCTTCCTCCCTGAAACCCCCAGACCAGCCCTCCCTGTCCTCTAGGAAGGCCTGTGCTCTGGGCGGCATCTCTGCTCCTGAAGAGCCGGCTTCTTCATTGACATGCAGGTAGTGCTCCCATCAACAAAGGCTGCAGAGCTTCATTAAAGTGGTGGGGAGACAAACAGCACTCATGCTGCATACCAAGTGGCACCACGTTTAACGGAATCATTTTATTATGAATACATTCCGGGCTGCCACTGTGAGCCACTGGTGTAAAATATGCTGGCAAAATGGATCTCTGCTAATTACATTTCATGAATATTTCAGAACTTTCCACAGGGATACAGGGAGATGGTGTTATAAAAGAAAATTTAACAACCAGGTTCGCTTGCACTCACCATCAACAACCAAGTTAGCAGCTAACAGAGATGAGTTCGATCATGTTACACATTGTGTTTGTTTCAGCTGGAATGTTGTCATTTCTTACCACTCTTTCAGTACTGCGGTGGTCACTGGTTGAAAATGAAGTCATCTTCAAATCCACCTGAAGACACATTACTGCAGAAAAGCCCATGCCCATTAACTCATAAATTTTCCACACTTCCTTTTCTATATTTGTCCTCAGTGACTCTAGACAGAATTAAGGAAATGAGCCTCTGAAGATGGGGACAGGTTGGCAGAGTGACAGAAGAGCCTCATTACCTGCTTCAAGACTGAATTGTAAAGGACACAAGTGACTGCGTTCTTATGGCTCTTCACCCTCTTGCTGGCTTCCCGTTCCATTGCCAGCAGTGCCAGCTGGTGATTAAAGGAGATGAAAAGGCGACCGTGGGCTTCATCGAAGTGGAAGAGGCATCTGAAGTCCTGACTTTTGGGGAAAGAACATGCTATCCTCTGGATGGAGAGTTGGTGCTGGATATCCCAGAGTCTCAAGACCTGGATGAAAAGTGGTAAAGTCGTACAAATAAGAACAATTCTAATTTTCCAACCAATTCTTTTCTCCCTCATCCTTATCCTCAAGCTGACAGTCGTGTCCTCTGTGGTGCTCTAATAGTTGGCACTTCTGTCATAGCGCAGACTGCTTTTCCCTTGTCCCTCCGAACACCTCATCAATTGTGATCTCCTTGAGGAGATTGTGTTGTGTCCCGGTCCCCGGAGAAGTGCCTGGCATGCAGTTGGGGCTGGTGGCAGGCAGACTAATGATCCCCAGAGACACCCAGGTCTTATCCCTGGAATGTGGGACTATGCCATCTTGTAAAGAAAAGGGGATTTTGCAGATGTGATAAATTAATGACCTTTTGATGGAGAGATTACTCTGTATGATTTGGGTGAGTCTCTGGGAGGTGACTTTGAAGTTGGAGGAAGAGGGCCTTGAGCCAAGGAGTCAACAAAACCTTCTCCCTCAGAGCCTCCAGAAAGGAGAGCCCTACTAATGCCTTGATATTAACCCAGTACACAAGATAGTTTTGTATTGTTTCAAGATAAGTCTGTGGTGATTAGTCAAAGGAGCAATAGAAAAATAATAGCGTCTCTCTCTGTCTCTCTCTCACATGCACACACACACACACACATATACATATGCATATATAAAAGAAATGGTAGTAAATGATATCAAGTTCAAATAATCCATAGATACTAAACTCCTACTCAAGCATAATCAAGGCACAAAGCTAGAACAAGACAAACACAGGAAAAATGGAAAGAGCAGCTTTGCAGGTGCAGCTGTCACTGCTGTGAGTGACGGTGCAGAATGAACACAGATGAGTGAGGGGAGCTGAATCGAAATGAAGACAGTGAAGAACCCACCCAAAGGGGACTATCAGACAAACGCTAGGGCCAGATGTCTTGGGTTCTAATTTTGGTTCTGTACCTCACTGTCACTTTATTCTACATGGTTACTCAGCCAATTGCAGATCTCATGTAATCTACGATGTTATTTGTGAGAATTTTTCAAATACCTTGCAGAAATAATTATGCTTGATGTACCTAGGGCAACCCCTCCACCCACTTATAGCAAACACAACAAACTTAAACCGACCTAACCAACTCTTAAACTGCATGACCAGTCCTTCTAACCATTACCAAGAAAATACAAGGTGGAGCAAAAGCAGATTTACAGATGTTTCTATAGAAAATAATACAATAATTAATAAATAATACAAAAATAAATGTGTTGTGCCACAACTTTTGCCCTACATTGTATATCTATAAAATAGATTGTTTTTCTTGGCAAGAATTTTTTATTAAAGAATTTATTCTGGTTCTTAACCATTATTAAATTATTTTTATTTAAAATATTCCAGAAGCTCTTCAGAAAGTGTTTATCCTCAGAAATACAGATTCTATAGGACCCAAGACTTGCCTATGGATTCCAATGTTTTCTAAATTTTATATTTAGAATTATGAACTATTTTTTTAATGTTAAGTCCATGAGATTAGACAGAGCTAGATCATTCTCAGACATTCATATTACTTAGGATAGTCCTGCTCTCATTGTCCAAAATCCTGTCTTACTTAGTATGGACTCTGTTCTAAAACATAAAAATTAATTTCATGTCAGAGTAATAATCAGGGGCATCGTTGAGTACAGATTAACAATAACTCAACAGTATTAATCGTCTATAATTCTTTCAGAATCATTTTCCACTGTGCCGTTCAAATAATTTATATTGGCTTTAATATTTCATTGACATTTAGTCATGTAAATTAAATAAAAATATAAAATAGATGAGCAATAACCTCTGTAGTCTATGACAGATTACTTCTTGATATTAGCAATTAAAATTAGAAATGTTTTATTAGAATGTGTATATTTGCTTGCTTTTCTTAAAATAGATTGTATTGTCTTGCTTTCCTTTATCTGGAGAACTCTTCTCAGTTAATGATCCCACTGAGCCCACGTCCTATCTTTAGTTCTTAAGTTTTTCTCCTTGCTGAGAGTCAAAGCAACAGCACTGAAAATCTGCCATGGATGCAGGCAACAGTGTTCCGGCATTCTCCTAGACATCATGTCATGGTGTGTGGTCCCCCCATTAGCTTTTCAACTTTCCCTGCACCACACACTACCTTCTAAGATACCAGTGGTTTTAACCTTGACCTTAAAAACACCTATGGGGCTTTAGAAATTACCTATGCTTGGGTCCCTTTCCCAGGCCAATTAAATTAGAATCTTTTTAATTTCCCAAGTATTTCCTGAGTATTATACCTTAACTGCTCTACTTGGTTCTAAGGTCAATGCTAATCTCCTTAAATGAGAAACCCTAAATCTCAGCTTAATCAGTAATATTACGTGGTTTGGGTTTAAACCAAATAGCTGTATTTCTTTCTTAATTAGTCTATATCCTTTTAATCATGAAAAATATCTCACATTAATTAAGTTTTATTAATCCAGTTCTTTGACAAATGTTGCTTAAATATCTACTTAATATTTGTGAATTCTGGGTTTTCTTCTTTTATAGTCAAGTTGACTTTTGGAAAAGAATTAGGCCACAGTTCAGAAAGGACTATACTTAATATCAATTCTTCTATATATCCTAGAGATATTTTCTTTATTCTTAGGAGGAAAAATACATAAATTGACAAACACCTAAGCTTAAAAATCACAATTAAATAATTGTTCTTATTAAAATATTTTCCACAAATTTTCATCTCAACTCTACTATTTGCATTTGCATCAAGATAACTACTAAGAACCCGGGACGTTTGCCCACACTCAGATTTACTGAGTGAAGTCTTTAAAATGCCATGATTTGGGGCACTCTACTTTATCTTTATTTTCTATTAGGAGGAATAAGTACCCAAGCTTATGATTTTTTTATACCAAGGTAAAACTGAGCTATTCACGTAAAGATGATGGCATTATTTCTGTTTAGTCTTCATCTTTTTTCAACTGTTAGCTGTTGAAAAAGTTTAATAATGCAAATACTGTATTGCTTACATACACTAGAAAAGTAGAAACCAGGTTCCTGAGACTCCAGACATCCGGATCTTAGTTTTACACCACTCAGGTTGATCAGCTTAGATATGGCAGTTAACCCTCTACTCCCTCACCTTTCTACCCTGTGGCCCCTGCCTGCTCTGAAGTTCTGTCATTTTAACCTTGAATGTACTGAAATGTGCAGCCCACTATCTACAGATTCCAAAAGAACAACACTTCAAACAAACTCAGGCAGGAGCATCAGGAAGACTGACTGCAGATAGGGGGCATCACCATGTTTTCAGTCCAGTTCTCCTGAAGAATCTCTCCTGGCATTGTGCCACAGATGGACAGAACCATTTCACACAGGCACAGTAAAACTACCACAAACAGCCCTGACCATGTATGGCTCAGTTGGTTGGATGACGTCCTGAAAAATGAAAAGTCGCTGGTTTGATTCCTGGTCAGAGCACATGCCTGGGTTGCCAGTTTGAACCCTGAACAGGGCGCACAGGAGAAGCCATCAATTGATATATCTCTCTCTCAGCAATGTTTCTCTCTCTTTTTTGCCCTCCCTTCTGCTCTCTCTAAAGATAAATAAAATCTTTTTTTAAGTATAACAAATAAATAATTAGTAAATGAAGAAGTACATAAATAAAATTGTCTATTATTTTCTTCAAAGCTACTGTTAGTATAATACTAAGTGAGGAAAATGAAAAAAGAAAGGAAGAAATTTAAAGTGTCTAGGTTTGGCCAAAAAAAGGAATTTAAAGTGTTTAAATCTAGTTCTATAAGTATCACACTTATAGATGTATAACTTCATAGATAAGGTAGGTTATGAATAGATATATGGATAAAGAGTCTATTCTTTGTGCATTTTTTGAAGCCACGTCAAGATTAGTTACATATTGGCAACATGTCCAAGTATAATTCAAAGTAGTTAGGGAAAGAAATCCTAATTTCCGAATAATAATACAGGAGTGAGGGAAAAGTAGAAGACAGACAGATTCAGCTGACTATGAAAATGAGCCTTGTTTGGTTTCATCAAATATTTATTACTAATTCCTGCCATCCTGTAGGGGATGGATATGAAATCAAAATATATATATAGAGAGAGTATGTATCGCTATGGGGATTTCAGGACAACAGGGCAGAAGCTCAGATCTCCAGGAGTAATCCCCCAAAATGGATAGCTTACTTGCAGATAATAAGATAATAGGAACTGGAGCATTGGCTCTCCTGAATACAACTTTATGTGTTAACAAGTCTATGTATGTAGAATTAAGCCTTTGGGTAATCCACAAAGGCATAACCAGTGAGTACTTAAAGATAATTTTGTTTGACATGATATGTGCTGGCAAAATGCCTTAGCTAACATTTTTATCTTAAAGTCATATACTAAATCTTCCTTCAAAAATATTGTCACCATTTTCCCAATACTTAAGCCAAACATATTAGTCTCAAATTAAAATCTTCTCTTGTGGTCCTGGCTGGTGCAGCTCAGGGGATTGAGCGCAGGCTGTGAACCAAAGTGTTGCTGGTTCAATTCCCAGTCAGGGCACATATCTGGGTTGCACACCAGGTCCCCAGTGGGGGGTGCGCAGGAGGCAACCACATACTGATGTTTCTCTCCCTCTCATTCTCCCCCCCCATCTAAGAACAAATAAATAAATAATTTAAAAATAAATAAAATAAAATCTTCTGTTGTGCTATTCATGTTTAAATTGTTGTCATAACCATTATTCTTCTCTTTTTTGTTCATTCTTTTCAACAAAAATGAAAGAAGACATACAGCTCCAAGTCTCAGATTTTATGATGTGTCTGTTTGTGTATTCTGTCATTGACACTGAAAAACTCACAATGTTTTCTAGCACTATGAATTGTTCTGCAGAAATCTCATTGCCTTCCCAGTTCAAATTTGGCAATAAATCTAATTCCAACATTTTATTTCAGGGACTTTCTTTTTTAGAAGAAAAATTCCGTAAGGAAACTTTAAAATTTTGATTAAATTTCTTTTGGG